TTTTTAAATTTTTTAAATTCAATAGGGGGGGAGAAGTCAAAAGTATTATGCTAGTACTAATAATATAAAATTTGTTATGGGTGGAAAAAGATAGCCGGGCGTTGTGGCGGGCGCCTGTAGTCCCAGCTACTTGAGAGGCTGAGGCAAGAGAATTACCTAAGCCCAAGAGCTGGAGAGCAGTGTGACGCTGCCAAAAAAAAGAAAGAGACTCAGTCTCTACTAGAAGCGAAAAAAATAGGCACGGCGTGGTGGTGGGCATCTGTGAGTCTAGCTACTCACGAGGTTGAGGCAAGAGCATTGCACTCTGGTAGACAGAGGCAGGTGGATCACTGGAGTTCAGGAGTCTGCGACCAGCCTGAGTAAGAGCGAGACCCCAAACCTAAAAAAAGAAAAAACTAGCAGGGCGTTATGGCCGTCGTCTGCAGTCCCAGCTACTTGGGTAGGCAAAAGGATCACCTGAGCCCAATCTGGCTTGGCGCCCATAGCAGTGGTTACGATGCCAGCCACATACACCAAGGGCGGCAGGTTTGATACCGGCCCGGGCCAGCTAAACGACAATGACAACTGCAACAAAAAATACGCGGGCGTTTTGGCGGGCGCCTGTAGTCCCAGCTACCTGGGAGACTGAGGCAAAAGAATCACTTGAGCACAAGAGTTTAAGGTTGCTGTGAGCTGTGACGCCATAGCACTCTACCAAGGGCAACATACTGAGACCCTGTGTCAAAAAATAAACAAATCCATGTTTAAAAGTACGAAATAATTATTAAGGTACTTCATACAGATCTGCACTATTCAACACTGTAGCCATTAGTCACACGTAGCTATTTAAATCTATACAATTAAAGTTAAAAATTCAGGTCCTCAATTGAAAAAGCCATATTCCAAGTGCTACTTGCTACCCTGACAGACAGAGCAGATACATAATATTTCCATCATCACAAACAGTTCTCTTTGACAGCCCTGTTACAGACTGAAAAACAGAAGAACGGCCCTCACCACCGCTCTTCACAAGTCCGGGGATGAGATGGGAAATCATAGTAGAGTAACTTTCCTTAAACTTCTGAAAGCCCAAGGACAGTTTCCGCCCCTCACAAAGATGGTGGCGGCGATGCACATAACTCCTAGCATCCTCCGGTCGCCCGCCCTACAGAAAGTTGGCCGTGGCCGAATCCGGCTTGAAGGCTACAGGAACGCAGCCACGCTGTACTCCAAATCCCACGTGAATCCCAGGCCGTTGAAACACAACAGCGTCTCTGCGCCTCTCGCGATAATATAGTCCCGAGGCTGGTCGCGCCCTCCTGCTTTGAATAATATCTGCTGATGTAATGAGGCCTAAGACTCTCGCGAGAGTATCCCCGCTTCCCGCCTTTCAAGTCTTCACGGTCGGGACCGCCTGTCAATCAGAGCTGCACTCGAGGCACCGCCCAAAGCCGCGCTGCCCCGCCCTTTCCGCCCCTCCGTCACTTCCTCTCCAGCCCCTGTGCAATCGATAAGGAAACCCGGAGGCCGCCTCTGCTTTCTTTTTAACAGGCGGCCGGAAAGATGGCGGACATTCAGGTGCGGTTTCGGAGCTGGCCCTGAGGTTTCAGGGCCCCCTCCGGGCTCAGGGGCACCTCCAGGAGGACAGGACCCCGCGCCCTATTTCGGGGATTAAATCCCAGGGCTCCCTAGTGATTAACGGGGGCGGAGGGCGCGTGCTTTTGGCGTTAATCTAGATTAGCGCTTTCTAAATCCCGGGGTCTGTGCACGTTAATGGAGGCTTAAGCGTTTAAAACTCAAGGTTTAAGAGGTGATTTTTGGGGGGAGATCTTAAAAGATTAATCCTGTGAAGAGTAGGACCCTGTTGTTTTGGTATTTAATTCTGAATTCTCATGTACGAGATAGTGAATCCTGAGTGGGTGACAGGGATTACTTTGGTGTAAAGGGTTAATTTTGTAGGCAGTACAAACTATAACAACCCCAGGTTTAGACCAGAGTCCTTAAATTATAGGTAAATTGGGGGAGGCGTGTCTTAGAAGCCAGCGTTTTGGGAGTAATCGGTATACAGCGTGGGATCTGGAGGATCCGGCGAGGTCTCCGGGCAATATTGCCTGCTCCGAGTTTACCAGCTCACGGCTCCGTTATCCCTGTAGACTGAGCGAGCCTACCAAAAGCAGCCGACCATCTTTCAAAACAAGAAGAGAGTCCTGTTAGGAGAAACTGGCAAGGAGAAGCTCCCTCGGTACTACAAGAACATCGGTCTGGGTTTCAAGACTCCCAAAGAGGTACTGGGTTCCTTAGAAGAAAGAATGGGATCACTGTGCCCCTGCACGTGTGCCCAAGTGCAGTTTTCCCCGAAGGCTGCTGGGAATTGTAGTTTGTTTCCCTGAGGCCACGCCCCCAGTTCTTTTTAGGCTCTGCCTGCCCAGGGCTCATCTGTTTTCTTTTTTGTATTTCTTCAGGCTATTGAGGGCACCTACATTGATAAGAAATGCCCCTTCACTGGCAACGTCTCCATCCGAGGACGGATCTTGTCTGGTGCGTGAGGAGGTTTGGGGTCTAGATTTCCTATGTCCTTGTTGAGGAAGGGGGTGGAGAGTACAAATTCCTGCGACCAGGGACATTGGCAGGTGATGTGCATTTTCACGATGGTCTTCAGATGCCCAACTAGGGCACTGCTGAGAAACCACTTGGTAAAACTGATGCCAGAAACAAGGTTTCTTGGGTTCCTTGCAGCAGTTTCTGATTCTCAACATGCCTTGTGTTATCCTGCCTCCCTTTCTCATGGTTTCTGATTCATGATCTATTTCATCTCCCTAGGCGTGGTGACCAAGATGAAGATGCAGAGGACCATTGTCATCCGCAGAGACTATCTCCATTACATCCGCAAGTACAATCGATTTGAGAAGCGCCACAAGAACATGTCTGTGCATCTATCCCCCTGCTTCAGGTAGCCCAGGCCACCCTACCAGCCTTCACTTTCCAGATCTGGGCCAACTTGAGGCCAGTGGAGGGAGCGATTTGCTGGGTGGCATTTCCTGGCGAGTCCTGGAATCCCAGAGTTTTTGTATATCTTGTGTCTTCCACAGTCGAAACATCTACATGTTGAGTATTTATTTGAAATGCTTGGGACCAGAAGTGTTTTTGATTTTTTAGAATTTTGTAATTTGTTTCACAAATCTCCTATACAGATAGTTTGGGGGTAATTTAATAGAATGTATTGTTGTTGTTGTTGTTTTTCTTTTAAATATTTAAGTAGATTTAGAACTACAAATGGTTTTTGGTTACATAGTGGAATTTATAATGATGACATCTGGGTTTTCAATGTATCCAGTACCTGGCCAGTGTACACGGCACCTGACAGGAAGTTATTTCCTTGACCCCATCCTACCCTGCACCCTTCTAAGACTCCAAGGTCCATTATACTATCTACAAACTATACCCCTTACCCGATGTTTTTAATCATAATAATTGTGTATGAAATAGTTAGTGTACATTGAACCACCAGAAAGCAAAGGTGTCCTATTGCCCCTCAAAAAAGTTCCAGAATTTGGATTTTCACTCCAGGGATGTTAAACCTATGGAAAGCAGAAGCCATGGGATCAAAGGGTCACAGTACTATACTAGACAGGAACTTCAGAAATGATGGAATTAAAATGCTTGTTTGATTGACACATTTTGAGATAGTCTTGCTTTGTTAGCCCAGGCTAAAGTGCTGTGGCCTCAACCTAGCTCACAGTAACTCTTGAGTTTAAGCGCCATTCCTCTTGCCAAGTAGCTGGGATTACATATAGGCATCTGCTACCACACCCAACTAATATTTCTGTTTCTAGTAGAGACAGGGTGTCAGGTTTTGTTTGGGCTGGTCTTGAACTCTTGAGCTCAGGGGATCTTCCTGCCTCAACCTCCCAGAGTGCATGAGCCACCATGTCCAACTAGTCAGACATTTTATATTGAGCCCATCACATGCTCAGCTTGGGGTTAGACGCTGGGATTCAGTGGTGAGAATGGGCAGAGCCCTGTTGCCTAGAGCAGAGCACTTTCTAGCAGGGAGGGCACCAGACAGCTGGCCAAGGGGAAAGATTATAGGGGGTGGCACAGCTATATGGGGGCATCATGTAGGAGGGAACTTCATATCAAGATATAAGGAATTGTGTGGGCAGAGAGAAGGGATAGCATCATCATACCTTGATTATGAGTCATAGGTGGCCTGATGTGCAGATTCTAGTACCCTGGCTGCTAGGTAGACTATTGGGGGGGAGCGGGAGATAGGGAGGAGGCTGCCTCCCACCTGCCTTGTAGAGCCTTGAGCTCAGTGCCTTGCCTATAGTTTGTACTCAGTGAATGACACCTTGGTGGGGGCAGGGGTTGAATTGACAATAGGAGCTTGGTTGAAGTTTGATGAACCCAAAGCCAGGAGCCCTGTCTGGTGAAGGGAGAAAGGGTTTGTTTCCCAGGAGTCTGCCAGGGTCGCCCCTCCTAAAGACATGTCTCCCACCTGTCTCCACAGGGATGTCCAGATTGGCGATATTGTCACAGTGGGCGAGTGCCGACCCCTGAGCAAGACGGTGCGCTTCAACGTGCTCAAAGTCACCAAAGCTGCTGGCACCAAGAAGCAGTTCCAGAAGTTCTGAGACTGGATATGTGCCCACACCCCAAAATGAAATAAAGTTGTTTTCTCATTGACAGGCCAGACATGGGATCTCTGTATCTTTACTAGAGGGAGGGATTATCCCTGGGAATTGAGTAAGGTTAGCATGGAAGCTGAGGTGCACTCATTCTTTGAGGGAGCAAGGATGGGAATGGGGCCCAGGTCCTGCCTTTTGCTCTCAATCTGAGATGTTGCCCCTCTCTCTTGGTCTCCTTTTTTTTTTAAGACTGCCTAGGGTTGCACTGCCAGTTCCGCATCTCCAGGGAGGAAGTGAGCAAAGGCCGCTGGGTCCTCCAAGCCCTGCTCTAGACCCTCTCTGGTCTTGGGAGGGAGGAAAGCAGCAGCAGCCACCCATATTGGGGGCTGCATTAGGTCACTGGAGTTGCCTGGGCTTGATGCTTCCTCAGCACATTGACTTCACCCTGAGCTGCCTCTTACCCCAATGGCCAAGGATCGTGGCTAGGAAGCCAGGCGGTGTCCCTGAGAACCTCACCACCTTACTCCTAGGTCCCATTTGCAGATGAGGAAGCCCCTGAGAGAAGGGCAAATCCTGGGTCTTGGAGTCCACTGAGTAGTTCGAGTTCTTAGATTCTGCCTGAAAATCTAAAGAGTTGGTGTTGCAGGTGAGTGGCATAGTGAGCAGGCACTAGCCTGGAAGCCCCTAGGTGTGGGGCTAACCTACACAGGCCAGAAAAGTAGGGGCCTTGAGAGAGGAATGGGACTGAGGGACAAACTGACAATGTCAGGGGGTCCTTGAGTGTCCCTTGCAGAGTTAGGCAGACTATGGGCACAGGGAGAGGTGGACACCATATAAATAGGTGAGCTTTGGGCATCACATAAGACGGGACAGGAGCAGGACAGAGGCAGACTGCAAACCAAGAGGGAGGGAGGCAAGGGTTTAGGGAACCCAAAGGGGTGAGACCTGTATTGAAGCCGGAGCCAGGCAGAGGTACAGAGATGCTGGAGTCCCGCCGACCTCACCGCTCGGCCTTCTGGTGCTTGGGTCCCCAGGTCCCTGCCCCCCACGCCCGTACCAGGGTCTGAGGGCAGCACTGGTACAAGGGTTGGGAGACAGGGCCCTGAGGAGAAGAGCTGCTGTGGCGCCTCCCAGTAGGCCCAGCCTCTGCCTTTTACCCAGGCCCTGGAGGGCGGGGGTTCCTGCCAAAGGAAGTGGGGCGCATCAAAGAGGGCAGGAAGGGGCAGGGACAGGTCAGAAGGGGCCACCGCCCTGCGTTTCTGAGCCCACAAGCCAGCCCTGCCCTGTGCTAGGGGCTTAGAGACCCAGAGGGAGGAGTGAGACAGACCCCAGAGGGAGGGGGATGGAGACCAGGAGAGGGATCTAAGGCCACCCTCCAGCCACAGGTGTTTCCGTTGGGGTGGGGCCCACTGTGTTTACCACAACAGCCCAGCTCCCCTGTTTCCTCCCTAGCAGTTGTTGGGGCGTCTCCTCGGCACCCCATCGTGTTGGGGTGTACGTTCTGGAAGGACGTCTGCGGGCCTTTGATTGCAAAGACTAAGGAGAAAGACCACCCTGGGACCCCTGGCCAGTTCTTTCACCTGAAGAGTGGGATGACATCTCTTAAGAGTTGTGTAGCAACTGCAGAAAATACAGTTCCTAGGTCTGAATCAAAGCCTCAGCATTTTCCCTCTACACTATCCTCTCTCCCCTCAACTCCCTGCTATTCCCTCTGCCCAGAAACTACCCCCCAGGTTTCCACCCAGCTCCCTCCCTATGTTTATTCTGCAACAACTATTCCACCTGGCAAAACCTCCAGCCCTGCAGATCACCCTTGCATTTGTATTGACCTATGTAGACAGGTGAAACCTTCTGTCTCTGTATTGGGCATATAGTGGATGATACTAATGTTCTTGTTTACAAGCTGACTCTAATCTTCCATATCCCCCCCTGGAATGTGAGCTCCAGGAGAGCAGACATTCTTCCTCTCCAGCACTAAAACATAAATGCTCCATAAATGTCTTGTTGAGTAAATGAATTAAATTGCCTTTTTTCTTTCTGTTAAAGACAGTATTTCGGCTCGGC